CCACCGTACTATGTATATAAATAATTTATATCTTTTATTTTGAAAATTTGTTTGCTATTTGGAGGGAGAGGGCTGAGGGGGGAAAAACATGGTCCGAGGGTGAGAGTAGGGGCCTGCAGATCAGTGATTAAGACACTGGAGTCCCACATGACTGACCATGGTTTAAGTCCCAAACCTGGGACTTTCTTTCCCCTGTAAGTATGTGTACCCTGTAGGAAATTGAAGAGAATAATAAAGATAAAATTAAATATATTTTTTTTAAATGTGAGAGTAGATAAAATGCTAATGTAAGAGAATAGAAAACCATGGTAGCTTGTTTGACATGCTATATAGGCATTTTTTTTTTTTTTTTTTTGGAGAGGTTTTTGCTATAGGGTTTGTGCGCTCACCAGAAAGACAGAGAGGGACAGAGAGGCAGAAAGCAAGAAATCACCCCCCAGGGGGGATGGCCACGCCGCAATCCCTTCTTCTCCATTCTCCTCTCGGGATCCTGGGCACACATACACAAGGCATGAGTTTAAGCCATCGGGGCCTGGATTCAAACAGCGGTAGACTACATGGGAGTCCAGCGACATAGCCTTTACGCCAACTGCTGGTTCCAACCACATAGGCATTTTTAAACCTGATAAAGTATATAATAATTAAGTGATGATACTGACTATGAGAAAGACTACTAGATCACTGTGTTCCCACCATCTTAAAATCCCTTAAAAAAACAGAAGCAATATTTTGTTTTCTGAAGTTCCCCAAGATGTCAAGCCTTTTCAACTAAGAGGAAGAGAACGCATTCTGTAAAAAGAAGGGATTAAAGCTGAGATGTATGGGCGATGGGCAGGTGCCTAAGGCCACTGAAGCACACTCGGGCTCTGGATGTGCCAGCCCCTTCTGGAGGCCCAGTGACCCTCAGGTGAGAGGCCCTGCGGGGTTGTACCTGTATGCGTCCTCCGATGAGCCTTCAGGTGAGAACTTTTTGTGTACACTTTGTTGCATCCCTCAAAATCACATCTGTGGATACGCCGTTTTCTGGAGTCTGGGGATTCAGACCGTCTCTGGCGTCTTGTGCTCTCAATACTAAATGGTGAAATTGAACTGGAAAAAGAAAAAGGGGGGTTCAATGGTAAGACACACACAGCACTCCACTTTGGTTCTCACGGTGAGAGAACCTAGTCTCAGACGCCACAGCTTCACAGACTCAAGGCTACCATGACTACATCTTCTGCTCCTTTCTGGAACATATCTCATTTCTTATCCAGAAGATAATGTTTCTGGTGAAACACTTCCAAGGAGAGAAGGACATACTGAAAGTAACAACAATAACAACAAAATAAAGGGTGGTAGGTCAGTCACCATTATCCAAAGACGCAATCTGGCAGGAGTTCACTAATACTTCGGTTTGGAACTGCTGAATGTCCTTAGCGAGGGTATTCTGGGAAGCCTTGCTATACACAAATGCAAAATGAATGCATTTAATAAGCAGCAAGAAGGTCTGAGTTGTATGTGACAACATGCACAATTGTGTAAAATCACAATGTACATTTCAAAACAAGTGAGGTCAGGCTGAAAGAAATGACATCAGTACATTAATAACATGACCCATGACAAGCTATTTCTGTTCCATAAAATGCACCTGACATTTAACTTTTCTAGTTGTTGGTTTTTGTTTTGTTTTGTTTTCTTTTTCTTTTTTTTATTTTTTCGTGGTAAAGTGCACTGTATTTAAAAATTAGCTGTATTACTAGTAAGGGGAAAAAAAAAACAAAGTTTTACCTGTATAATTTGGCCCTGACTTGCATGTTGTTTCATCTTAATGCCCCAGCAGAAAAACAGGATTAGTTGTAATGTCAAGTAATTGATTAACATGTACTTTTTCAAACTTTAATCTCTTTTGATTGAGAAAGAAAGAAAGACTATGACTCATCTTTGTTAGTTATCCATGAAGTTCTTTAAAATTACAGTGAAATATGATAAAAAAACAATCACCCAGATTTCTACTATAAAAAATTTAACCACTGTTAATATTTTGACATATTTCCTTCCAGCTTTTCCATGTTTTGATGCTTTAAAAATGATTTATTAATAAATCATCTCCTTTAAAAACTGAACATTACAGATCAACCAGATTCTGACTCCTTGCCATGAGGAAATCTTCTATTATATCATCAGTTTTTTGTAGGTACTTCTTTAAAATTGCATTTACCTATACGTATCTGTATTCATACAGGTTCAGAAGATGGTTTTTTAAGAATTATGTAAATAGGATCACAATGTTCACATTACTCTCTAAACTGTTATATCCCTGCCTCTTTTTCCCACTCAGTATTAAGCATTTGAGATTTATCCATGTTGATGTAAACACAGAGTCCACTTATTTGAAGTTCTATATACTATAACTTATCAATTCTAAGATGTACTTTTTTTTTTTTCTATTTTTGCGTCTCTAAAATCAGGATGCTTCATACAATTGATGGCTTGTCATGGTTTGATATATTTTTTTCTTTATTAGTGGTTCATAAGGTAATGATGCATTTTACAATAGGTGACACTTCAGCTTCTAGCAGGGGTGGGTAAACGTTTTCAGGAAAGGGCAAGACAGCAAATATTTTACTTCGGCATTGGGGACACACAATTTTATGTTGTGACTGATCGACTCTGCAATTTTATTGTGGAAACAGCCATCAGCAATAGATAAATTAATGAGTGTGGCTATCTTCCAGTAGATTTTATTTATAAAACCATGGTTTAGACCAGCTAAACCAATGGTCTTAAGAGTCCTCTTAAGTAATGCTGCCACACAACCCATCACTTAAATACTTTGCTTCATGGGCTATCATCAGCTGACTCCCGATTTAATTGACCCCAGAGTTTAAAAGATCCATTTCTGGGGCTAGCAGGTGGGATGGTGGTTAAAGGCACTGGACTACCATAGGGCTGACCTTGGTTCAGGTCCCAACCCTGGAGGCTTGCTTTCTCACTCTCCCTCTTTTTCTCTCTGGTTAAATTAGAAACAAATAATAATGATGAAAAGAAATGAAATGAAAAGAAAAAAATTTTAAAAAAAGATCCAATCCCTATGTGGTGAACACTGAGACTACTGCTGAACGTTTTTTAAATGTCTTCTTCTACACATATGCCTCTTATGTTTTCAATTTATCTTTTCCCTTCAAATACCAGATCAGGCAGCCATCATTTTATATTAGGTAAGATTAAATACAAACAGCATTTATCTATGTTTCTGCTTCATGCAAGATCCATAATAGAAGAAAGGCAGAACATTATGTTGTGTGACTTAGCCACTTTTTTCAGCCTTCTTAGCCATCAACATGGGTTTGTGATTTTCCACATCACTGACTCAGCTGTAGGAATCAGAGTCTATTGTGAAAAGAGTCAAAACAGTATGATTGACCTGCCCATGAGAAAGCAGCTTTAGTCACTTCTGCTGAGGTATGCTCTGACCCTGGGTGTGAGTCCTGCCGGTACAACTGTGTGTGGGGTAACAGGACAAAAGGAACTCATCTATTGAAGATGTAGTCATGAAAATGAAGATGGATGTTAGTACTAGGGACCTCAAAAAGGATGTTATGTTGTATGGTGCTTGACATCTTTAAAAACTGAGAAAATACTATTGTTTGTTTCCTTTGAATTAGAACTTAACATCAAGGGCTGGCAGGTGGCATGGTGGTTAAGGGCGCTGGACTCATATGGCTGACCACAGTTTGAGTCCCAGACCTGGAAGCTTACTTTCTCACTTTGTCTCTCTCGCTCGCTCTCGCTCTCACTCTATCCCTCTCTGGTCAAATTAAAACAAATAAATACATAAAGTAAATAAAAATAATTCTTAAAAAAAGAACTTAATATTAATAGAACACTTCATTTGTACAATACTTAGAAGTTTAAATGTAACTCTTCATACACAAACGCACACTCAGAGACAGTCTTCCCTACGGCTGACTTCTGCTATTTCTTTTGCTATGTATTCATCCATACAGAGAAAAGCAAAAAATAATTCTGAAATCAAAACCAAATAACTACTAAATGGTCTTAAGAGACTACTGAAGTAATGCTGCCACACAGCCAGCCATTGAAAGCTGACCACAGTTTGAGTCCCAGACCTGGAAGCTTACTTTCTCACTTTGTCTCTCTCGCTCGCTCTCGCTCTCACTCTATCCCTCTCTGGTCAAATTAAAACAAATAAATACATAAAGTAAATAAAAATAATTCTTAAAAAAAGAACTTAATATTAATAGAACACTTCATTTGTACAATACTTAGAAGTTTAAATGTAACTCTTCATACACAAACGCACACTCAGAGACAGTCTTCCCTACGGCTGACTTCTGCTATTTCTTTTGCTATGTATTCATCCATACAGAGAAAAGCAAAAAATAATTCTGAAATCAAAACCAAATAACTACTAAATGGTCTTAAGAGACTACTGAAGTAATGCTGCCACACAGCCAGCCATTGAAACACATGGCAGGCACAGAGACGAAAGCAAAGGTATGAAATGGCACGGAATTGCTCCACTACGCATTCTGAATTCACATCAAATGAAGATAAGTTAGGTGGAGAGCCTTCATGTTACAAGACCTCACACCCTGGTTTTCCTCATTATAAAACAAAATGTCTTATATTGAGAAGAACAACCATCTGAAGATGTCCATACAATAAAAAATAATTTTAAAAAATTGTTTTGAAATTTTTGCTATAGGGAGTGCATGCTCACTGGAGAGATAGAGATAAACAGAGAGAAAGTGAGAAATCACCCACTAGGGGGTATGGCCACACTGCAATCCCTTCTCCATTCTCTTGGAACTTTGGGTGCACATGTGCATGTGCCTGGCATGAGTTTTAAGCTGCTGGGTCTGGGACTTGAAAGGTGGTTGACTATGTGGGAATCCAGCAAAGTAACCATTACACCATCGGCTGGTCCTCAATTAAAAAAAAAAAAAATTAAACGTATGTACAACAAATAGAGTCACACAGCAAAGTTGGCTTTGAAATGATATTCGATGGGCAAGTTTTCTCTTTGGTACCTTAATTTTGAGGTAGGGGAATAAATAGGTTTTCTTTTTTTTTTTTTTTTTTTTTGGGAGTTTTTTGCACATGCACTTGCCAGAAAGAGAGAGAGAGATAGAGAGACAGAAAGTGAGACATCATGCCCCCGGGGGGATGGTCACACCACAATCCCTTCTCCTCCATTCTCTTCTCAGGATCTTGGGCATGAACGCACACACACCTGGTGTGTGTTTAAGTCACTGGGTCCGGGACTCGAACCACAGTCGACTACATGGGAGTCCAGCGACATAGCCATTATGCTAACTGCTGGTCCCTGATAAATAGGTATTTTTGACAGGGTCTACCTGTGTCAAAATCCTCTTGCTTCAGCCCCCATTAGCTAATATCAGGTACACATCACCATACCTACTGTGTTCAGGTTTATCAGGAAACTGAATTCACCCCCCCCATGTGATCTCTAGATTCCTAAGACATGGTGCTATCTGTTTGACACCATTGTTGACCTCTGCAGTTCCCTTTTAATTTTTATTTTTAAAAATTATTTATTTAATTCTGCTTGTTATTATTATTATTTTTAAATTTGACCAGAGAGAGAGAAAGAGAGGGAAAGGAAGAAAGCAGATTGCTAGGTCGGGGACTTGAACTGCAGCCAGTCATGTGGGAATTCAGTGCCTTAACCACTACGCCACTGGGCGGCCCTGTGGTTCCCTTTTTAAATGATAGAGACATCTTCCAAAGATGTCAGTGAAGGACCCTTTGATTAACTGGGCCTTTCAGAACTACTTATTTTATCTCTTTGCAGAAAGGTAGGAAGATCTATGGAGAGGAGGGAAAAGAAAACCAAAAGCAAAAAAGAACTTAACACAGGACAGTGAGAGGACAATCCACTCTAGGGAGGACAGCTGTTCTACTGAGGCCCAAAGACTCCAAGGATGGTGGGCACTGTAGGTGGATGACAATGGTGGTCGGGGGGCATCTGGCTAAGTAACATCCATGGCTAGAAGGGTGACAATCATGGTACTGCTACAAATAATTTTATATCTGTAGAGCCAGGGCATTGTGGACATTCAGAA